CACGTACACGCATAGCGAGATGTTTGGAGAACGGACGGTAGCACTTTGGTTCCTAAACTTGGTCGTCATATCATTGTGAAACCTTCTCTCCAAATGCCCGAATTATGATAGCTTCAGAGCAATCCAATGTCATAGTGTGAGATCATTCTGAGGTATATTAAGGTCGGAAAACCGGTAGACAGGTTTCTACTAAAGTCTTTTTGAAGCCAAAGATAGCACTTCATCAGGGCTCGTTTCAACCCTAAACAAAGCTTTAGAACCATTCAGTGTCCAGGAGAAGCTGGTCGCCCAAACCTACGAAGGGGCAGCTGTAATGAGCGGGAGAGTCTCTGGTGTACAGACTCAGAGGCGCCAACTTTCCCTTTTCTTGTCTTTATTCATTGCTATGCGCACCGGCTGAATCTTGTTTTTAAAGTAAAGTAAAGCGTGCTTGTTCAGGGCATATCAATCTGCTGGATATATTTTGCTAACGTTGCAGGCTTTTTGACATTTTGTGCCCACTTTACAAAACGCATTGACGTTCTCAGACGCTTTTGTCACCGGAATATTCCACGGCCGTCAGAAACAAAGTGGAATTGTCCGTCTCGACGTACTAGCAGTCTTCCGTTGGAAAGGAGAAATCCAGTTCTGTCTTGAAGAAATTCAGTCTGAGCACTGAAACCATAATACAAACCACGAAGCATGTGGTCTCTTGAATGTATTAAAGAGCGATACATTTCTCTTCTTTTTGCACCTTTTAAAACAAAGTGTTCACACTACGCACGTTGACGTTGTGTATGGGATCCTCCAACACAGAAGTACAACGACCATAGCAGCCCAACAAGCTCTAGACAAGTTTTTTAAAGCCGCCATCGGGGAAATTAAAGACAGTACAGTACAAGTGTACCATTGACAAGTCAGACCACACAGGAACAAACTTCCAAGAGACGCAGACGTCACAACATGACACCAACGAAAGTGCTGCAAAGGAGGCCTGTGACATAATAGTCACTCAACTAGTTTACCGTTTCTTGAAGCAAAATAAAATCTATACACTATCAATCGTCTACCCCTCCAAATTCCAGGACTATCAAAAGTCGTTTCCTACGGTTTTTTGGGATAGTATTTTAGAAAGCTAATCTGTTTTGTATAAAATCAAGTTACAAACACAATTAGAAATATTATATTGCAATGAAACATTTAAGTAAGTTTGCTCAGTGTCGTACAACCCACGGTCTTTATTCAACTCAGGAGGACTACAAACTCGATACAATATTTAGAGAAATAGGCAAACTCCTAGAAATCGCATTGACGTTTTTAAGTCGATCCACAAGGATATCATTGGACATCATCTCCAACTTCGCCAACAAAAAAAAAATGGACACATTTGTTGCAGCAAAAGAACGAAGGGTAGACTTCTTCGAATAGATTTTCTCTAAACAGGTAGGATGAAGAATACATATCACCTACCATGCCTTTGACTGTCTTCATCCTGCTTTAAGTTAGATCTAATTGTGCACCTCCACTAAGACTTGTTAGACCAGCGAGCCGCCCCTGATAAAAATACAAATGGAAAAGTGCTTGTCACTTGACACTCCTCAGACACGAGAGAAAAAGGAAGTAAGGCGTGCCGTTGATCGCCCGGCCAGCAGTAAGTAACATTCAAGGTGTGGCAAACTATGAGATTGACCGGGGACCACATAGATGCAGAGGCAGAGATATCATTATAAGCCTGGTCTATCGTCTATTGACTGACTTGGCCTCTCAACCCAAACTCTTTCCAAGGGGAAAGACTAGATTCAGAATCCTAGTTACCCAATTTCCTCGGTTGCCTCCCGTGGATGTTGCACGCACGTTGAAACTATTGCCGCTTTCTCGTGTCAGGCTAATGCACGTACGTGTTCTTTTATTATCAGGTTGCCGTAGGTATATGGTGAGCAAGACTTCATTTACAGTTGTAAAAAGTTACTTTAAGGCCTAAAATACCAGCAACTTACTCCACGAACATGTTCAGATGCGAAAACTATAGCAAAATAGGGACAACCACCTTGCAGTCAAGTGGATTTTTGCGCATTTCTTTTCAGTTACGCTACATTTTCCTGAAAACGGGGCTCTGAAATGCTCATCAACGACTAGATCTAAGTCCAGCATCCGGGTGACAAAATGAGCATGACGTAACGACTCTTTTTAATCCAGGTGTTTTGGAGTATAATTTGTTGTCTTGTGAAAATGTGAAAATGTGACAATGTAAAAAAGTAGAAATGTGACAATGTGAAAATGTGACAATGTAAAAATGTGACAATGTGACAATGTGACAATGTAAAAATGTGACAATGTGAAAATGTATTTACACTGTTTTGTGTTTTTTAAATCGCATAATAAGCTGTATCTTCTCTTAGTTGTATGCAGGCTGCCACAGACACAGTCACAGCATGATTCATGAACAAACGCAGAGTAACTGTCTCTTGTTTAATGGTAAAACAAGATAAACAATGCAGATGTGCATCTTTCTTCTCTTATAACCTGGCTATGACTACTCGTGCAGATTAAATATTTCTTATGGTAAATTAAAGACATGATATTCGTAGTCAGTTTAACACAGATTTTGAGAGGTCTGTCCTGCTGTTTTTAAATAAACAATCATAAAATTGTATTTATAAGTTTGTAACTAAATTGGACAAATTGGGAACTGTACAAACACTTGTCTATAACTAAAACTATGACAGAAATTAACCATTCTAACGCAGAATAAATCTCAAGACATTGAGCTTTTAGTACATCAGAGTATAATGGTTTGCTGAGTGGGATGGGGAAGAAGTTATAAATATCGTTTCAAACGTAGACAAATATGCGAACTTCTAAACCAACACCGGCAAAGCATGTAGCCTACGTGTATAATGTATAGTACTGACAGCTAAAGAAACAAGCATTTGACGTAAGAAATTAATAATAAAACAGTTGAATACTTTATTCTTATTGTGCTTTGGTAGTTGGTACTGAAAAGGCCCACAACTGTTTATTTAGAACCACGAGTTCGTCACCACGTCAAAACTCACCAGACACATATTATTATCGTCTCAACGTAGCCTTCCTATTGAATAAGAGCCCGTGATAAGTGATAGTGTGCTCTCTCTCTCTCTCTCTCTCTCTCTCTCTCTCTCTCTCTCTCTCTCTCTCTCTCTCTCTCTTAAAACTAGTTTCACCCTCGTGAGAGTAGCTAGTCAGAAGCCAGCTCAGAAAGCACTTCTCAGTAACTCAATTCCATTTGTTTACGTCGCCACTGTTATATTTGTTCGTTCGTTCGTTCATTCCTTTAGTCCTTCAATTCCCTCAGGACAGGACTGTGACCCCTTCTGGTCACTGCAACTTTCCTCGGTTGTTTACTGACTTGGAAACCATACTTGCCAGGGTGGGAGGAAGATTTGAGTTCAACATTTTAAATGGGGACTTTGCTTTGTGTTTCTCTTACATTGAAAAAACGAAGGACAGAAAGAATGTACATGTAATATAAAATCAGAATGTAATACACGACCAGACTTGAGAGGGGGGGGGGGTTCGTTTGTATTTTCCA